TACACACACTCAAAACCCATTTATAAACACACCCAAAAAATATATAATTGTTGACTTTGGGGTTGATTTTGGGTGTGTTTCTATGTTTAAATAGTGTTTGGGTTTTTTTATAAATACATGTCTAGGATTGGGTTTATTTATAAATTTGTATAATTTCAATTCTTAATGTTTACATTAATTAAGGGCATTTTTTGGTATTTTGAATGTTTCACCATTCTCTACCTTTTACTTTTTATATATATATATATATATATACAGTCCCCTTCTATTGAGGGATCCCTCAAATAATTTTATTTGAGGGACACCCTTTAGGGTACCCTACAATTTTTTTTCAATGATCCAATTGTGTACCCCTTCTATTGAGGGATCCTTACAAAAAACTAGACAAATCAGAAACCGTTTTGACATCCAATTGTGTCATACAAAATCAATAAACACGATGCTTCAAGAAAGTACTAAAATTTCAATAACTTAATTGAATGGTAAAATGATATTGGATTCAAGTGATTTTTTGTAGAGATGATCTTTGAATGTGTATCTACAAAATAGACGGTTTGGATTAGTGAAATACAATCTGGAGTGGGCCCTATAAGGGGTGTTCCTCAAATAAGCTTATTTGAGGGATCCCTCAATGGAAGATCTCTGTATATATATATATATATATATAGACACACACACACGTTAAATCATATACACTTCCTTTACAACTATGGACGATAACGAACATTTGCTGATTGTCCAGTCAGTTTTCACACAAAACATAGACCAAAAAGACAGACAAAAAAAAGACAAAAAAAAAAAAAAGAACAAACCAAGAAAGATTTAGGCCTAGTTTGGGATTGCTGTCACTTTTTAAAAAAGTTGCTTCCGCTGTGCTTTAAAAATAATTAACTGTAAAGTAAAGCAACTCTATGTTTGGTAAACACTATTTTTAAAGTGTTGTTAACACAAAAAGCAGTGTTAAAACCGTTTGGTAAATTTTAATATAAAATTGTTGTAACTGTGAATAATGACTAAAATATGTTGCATGCGCAAATCTCACGGCCTAGTGCTTCGGACCGACGGGATGTGCGTGAACACGTGACATCCTTCTTTTGGATGCGGTGCGGTTGTGTGCGG